AAAAATTTCAGCCCAAATCTTTGATTGTTTGGGTAATCTTGATGAGAAGGAAGTAGATTCATGTCAATGTAACACCAGTCTAGAATGATATGTGGTTAATGCTTGCATATTATATAAGTGTGAGACCCGCTTAAGCTTCTAACATGTTTCATATAAATAGTGCAAGTGTTTCCTAGTAAGTTAATTTTGAAGATGCCTTTATCTCTTGTATAGGTTAAAGTAAAAAATGAGAATGTTGCTTTTGCTATGAAATGTATACGGAAGAAACACATTGTGGACACGAAACAGCAAGAACACATCTACTCGGAGAAGAGGATCCTGGAGGAGCTGTGTTCTCCATTCATTGTAAAGTAAGCGAGCACAGGGCCCCCAGACATGTGTTTCTGGCTCATCTTTTCAGTGTTTGCATGCTAGAGGACAGAAGGAAGGAGGAAGGGCGCCTCCACTTCACTTGCAAGTCTCCAACAAGATCTAGGGGCAGAGTTTCTAGTTTCTTTTTGTTTATGGGTAAACCTCACAAAAGTGTGTGTGTGTGAGTGTGTGTGTGTGTGTGTGTGCATGAGCACACACGCTCATAGACTATCACTGCAATATATTTTGAAGTGGTTGTTTCATCCAAACCTGGGCCTTGCAATGCCTAAGTACCCAAGGAAAAATCTCCTAATAGTTAATGTTTTAATTTCTAGAGGTATCACTGGAGTTTGGAGGAGAAACAGAAATTACTCTGAGCTATTACGTTTTTCATTTGTTAATTTGTAGGTGCATTTATAGTATAAGCCAGTATATAATTTTCATAGTGCTCCTGTGTACAATTGTAGTGATTTGGAGGTGATACATGGTGTTTTATAATGAACAAAAATTATATTTTCATCAAATGCCTTGAGCGAATCTTTCTTCCTGTGTTCCCAGATGATGCATATTACTATTTTTCAAGGTGAAAGCAAATCTAGATTCAAGGCAATGCTGCAATAATCTTCTAATTATCTTTCTATTAATCTTCTCAGATACTCTTTCACAATTACTATTTCATTCATCTGCTATGATGAGAAGCTTAAGGGTATAGATTGGGGTGTATTCATTTTCTACTTCTAGACCTTCATAAAGTATGTGACATATAGTAAGGCAATAATAAGAATAAGGATAAATAAGTGATGAACTTTACTATAAGGTTAACATATATAATACATGTATAGAGAAGGTGGGGAGAATCATCACATTTGTCTTCCTAGCCTAATAGGAGGATCAAGTGAATTCCTATTTTTTCAATAAATATGTATCATCAATAACACATAAGTAATATACAATCAAATGAATATGTATGTTCAGTGAGAAAACTGAGCTTGCATAACTAGTAATTGTTCAAGCTGGAATTTCAGCCTGGCTCTAAGGCTTAGGCTCTGAAACGCTGTATTAGAGCTTCTTCCACATGCATGTGACCTGGCTGCTCTACTGTCTGCACTAGCCTGGGAATAGTGCTAGGAAGAAAAATTAATCTTTTGATCATTATGATGATGCAAAAAGTGCTTTCACTCCATGTTAATAGGGTGTCACTACTAAACACCACTACAGAACTGAGCATTCTTTTCATGAGTACCATAGCTTAAACATTCTCTGGCCTTATTATTAGGTGTAGAGAATCACCTTGCTCACAATCTTGTCTTTTCAGGGCAATACAACTTCAATTCCTTAAAGGTGGAGCTTGCTAAAACTAAGTTACAGCCCAGCCCTCCCTCCCTTTGCCCAGTCTGCTTCCTCTAATATCACCGCATATAATAGATGTTATTCTCAATCACTCTCTTTTAGATTTACTGCTTAGAAATCTCTGTCTCAGGGTCTGTTTCTAGAGGAATTTAATACCAGATAATAAGTTTGAGGGCAAAAAACATGAGGGCATAAGAAATAAAGGCATAACTTATTTGTGAGAAGCCTATCTTCAAAGTGCTATATACATAGGCCTGTGGCTTTGGAGGGGAGAGGTGATATTTGGTAGGTGGGGTAATGAACTGCTTTATTAAGAAGGGGGACTTGGAGCTTAGCCTTGGAGAAGGAATAAAACTTTCTCAGTGCAACTGAGACTAAGTAGGTCAGCCTGTGAGAAGAGGCAGAGCAGTGTAACTCCAGAGTTCCAGGAATGATCAAAAAGGACTTGGTAAGAAGCCCAGTTTAGCTGTAGGATATCTGTATGGAAAGGAGGGTCATTTTGCCCCCGATGTTATTGATGATGATTGTAAAGCAATTTTAAAGAGTTTTAAAAACATATTTCTCAAAATAACTTGTTTGCAAGAAGCCAGAAGTACAAAATGAAATCTAAACTGTATTTCTGTGTTCTTATCTGTCTTTACAGATTATACCGTACTTTCAAGGACAATAAATATGTGTACATGCTTCTAGAAGCCTGCTTGGGTGGAGAGCTATGGAGTCTATTAAGGGACAGGTAATGAAAAGAGTTAAAAGCAATAGTTTCTGTCTACTTCCATCTGGACAAGAAGATACTGTACTTAAGGGTCCTAAATAAGAACATGAAGATCACTTATGAAGGAGATCACTATAGAAAATATTATCACTTGAAGCCAGAACCTGGGGTTCACACTTGTAATCTTAGCTATTTAAGAGGCTGAAACTTAGAGGACTAAGATTCAAAGACAGCCTAGAGAGAAAAGTCTGTGAGATTCCATCTCCAGTTAACCAGGAAAAATGTTGATCTGGGGACATGGTTCAGGTGGTAGAATGCCAACCTAATAATTAGCACAAGCAAGCTGAGCAAGAGCTTGAGACACTGAGTTATAGTCTCAGTACTGGCAAAAGAGAAGAAAATACTATCACTTGATAAAGTAGTAATAGTGATATTAGCTAACATTACACAATCTCATAAGCAAGAATTCATTGCAATGTCTATTTTATGGATTAAAGAATTACAGCATGAGGGAAGAAGCTATCTGAACTTGAAGATGTAGTAAGGGTAGATTTACATATTTGCAAATTTTGAAGAGTTTGTGGTGGGAAGGGGCTAAACTCTTACTGAAATGCAGAATAAAATGTCCATAAGGTCCAAGCTGAGAGCAAGGGCTCACACTTGTAACCCTATGAGAACCATGGTTGGGAACAGTATGATCAAAGTTCGTAAAACCCCATCTCTGCCAATATGTGTTGTGATGAATGGCTGTCATTCCAGCTCTGTGGGAAGTGTAAATAGGAGGTTCTCAGTCCAAGTAAAAAGCAAAAAAAACAAAAGAGCTGGAGGCATGACTTAAGTGGAAGAGTACCTGACTAGCAAGTGAAAGGCCTTAGGTTAAATAAAAAGATATCTAGAAAAGTTCAACTTCTCCAGAGGAGTGATTTCCGTTCAGTCAAAACCACAGCTAGTTACTAAGAACCACCTATGTTGAAGGGTCCGTCTCAGACAATTTGAGGAGTTTCTGGGCAATGTAGATTTTCTATTCAAAGACTAAATTGTGTAAAAAACAAACGAACAAACAAACAAAAAACCCAAATTGTCAGGTGCTGCTGACGCATGCCTATAATCCTAGCTACTCAGGAGACTGATGTCTGAGGGTAGAGGTTAAAAGCAAGCCAGGGCAGGAAAGTCCATGAGACTCTAATCTCCAATTAACCACTAGAAAACTGGAAGTGGAGTTGTGGCTCAAAATAGTAGAGCCCTAGTCTTGAGCAAAAGAGCTCAGACAGTACCCAGGCCATAAAGTTGAAGCACCATGAACAATAAAACAAAAAAATTAAAAGAAAGAAAAAAATAGAATTTATTTGGAGAAAGTATGTGATTGTAAAGCATTGACATTGGCAACCTATGACTAAATGGGTAATGAGAGCTATAAATAGAAAGCTTAGAAGAAGGGAAAGAGAAAATATGATGCAGAAATGTTTGATGTAAACACTATATACCTACAAAACTTTGGAAAAGCAGAAAGGTAGAGAAAGACAAAGCAGGAAGGTTGACATAGTATTAACTCTTTTGGATGATGAACATAAGAATATTTAGAACTAAATAGATTGTACAAATATAAGTGCAGCAGAAGAGGAAATAGGAATCTAATCCCCATTAGATGATATAAGTTAAGGTTAAGCACACAGTTTCGCTGGGGACAGTGATTTTTCAACTGTGACTGCATATTATCATCATATGATGTCGTAGGCCAAACTTTATGATTCATTTAATCTGGTTTGGTGCCTGGTAAAGCAATTTTTTTTAAAAAACAAAATGTTGGTTGGGCCACGCACCGGTGGCTCACACCTGTAATCCTAGCTACTCAGGAGCTGATATCTGAGGATCATTGTTCGAAGCCAGCCCAGGCAAGAAAGTGTGTGAGACTCTTATCTCCAATTAGCTACCAGAAAACTGGAAGTAGAGCTGTGACTCAAAGTGGTAGAATACTATCCTTGAGCAAAAGAGCTCAAGCACGGAGCCCAGGCCCTGAGTTCAAGTCCCATTACAGACCTAACCAAAAAAAAAAAAGTTGCTTGGTACACTCATGACTAAGAATCACTGACCTCAACAAGAAAAGTCTGTTGAACATCAGAGAAGAAGATGAGCATGTTGTTAGAAATAGCCAATAACATGTTCCTATCACAACATGCCACAGATGTCCAAAAGCATGTTTTCTTATTTTTCTATTTTACGTGTTCATATGTGTGTGCTAGAAACAATTACTTAAATGTAGACATTTTGATTTCAGCAACACCATTTGCATCAAATGTTTCCCTCAGTTCCTTTAGGATCAGCAGCCTAATTCATTGCTCTGAAAAAAATCCACATCATACACATATGCAGTGTAATAATGGACACATAGAATAGCACCAAAGACATATATCTAAGATATTAAAAAGAAAAATGGTTTTATTCCAGGGGCAGCTTTGATGAGCCCACCTCCAAATTCTGTGTCGCTTGTGTGACAGAAGCATTTGATTACCTGCATCGACTAGGTATTATCTACAGAGACCTGAAGCCAGAAAACTTAATTCTAGATGCCGAGGGTTATCTTAAGTTGGTAAGCTAAGTTCTTTTATTTATAGTATCATATGAGATATTTCCAGAGCAAAGTTACAGTTGTCATTTTCTTTGTAATTTATTAGAGCTGTTGTTTTCACTCTGGCCTTTGAAATTGGTGTGTAACAATGTTATGGATTCATTCTTTGGGCTTGCAAGTTCAATGTGACAGCCATATTTGTTTCTTCTACTAAAGAGTTACAATATAATGGACTGCTTTCAAATTTAGATTTTTTTAGGGTTTTTGTGTAACAATTTTAACTAGATTTTTAAGTGCTTTGTGTATAAGGACTAAGTATGAATAATAAAGAAAATAATGGAACTCCTGCACTATGATATCCAGATATACACAGAGGGAGAGTCAATAAACACATAACAGGTGTTTGGAAATCTTTCCAAGTGAATCTAATGATGAGAATCAAACTAAACCATAGGCCCTTTGAGGACAGAGACTCTCCTTGCTATCTGTAATTTATTAATGCCCAGCAGAAACTCTTTTGAGTGTCATACTGTAATGTTATCAGTCATAGGAACTACTTTCACTGAGAAACTATGTTAGAACTGGTTTTGGTCATAGCTATGAAAAAATCAAGTTACTTTGGAACTCAAGAAGGAACCCCACAGGATGAGGAACCAAGGCTGAGATTTCCTGAGTCTATTTTGATAGCTCCCTAAAGACATTAAATCATTTCTGAACTTTACGATATTAAAAATTCTCAGGCTCAAACTCATATAAGGACATAATAACATTATTTAGTGAACATTTCTTGTGTGTAAAATATACTATGCTCAAACTTTTAAAATTAATCTAATAATTGTGTGTGTGTGTGTGTGTGTGTGTGTGTGTGTGTGTGTGTGTGTGTGTGTGTGTGTGTGTGTGTGTGTGTGCCAGTCCTGGGGCTTGACCTTTGGGCCTAGTCTCTGTCCCTGAACTTTATTTGTGTTCAAGGCTAGCGCTCTACTACTCGAGCCACAGGGCCACTTCCAACTTTTTCTGAGTAGTTTATTGGAGATAAGAGTCTCATAGACTTTCCTGCCCAAGCTGGTTTCCAACCATGATCCTCAGCTCTCAACCTCCTAACTAAATAGAATGATAGGATGAGCCACAGGTTTCTGGTTCTATTTAACAATTTTTAAGATAGGTTTTTATAATATATATGATATAATTATGAAATTTAACCTTAGTGATTAAATTACTATATATATGGTTATGAAAAGCATTCTCCTTGTGGAGTAAAATAAAGTCTCTTTCTGTGTGAAATTTTGCTAACTTCCAAGAAATGTTTTGGTCCATTCAAGTTTTATTTTACCCATGAAAGACAGTATGAGATCGGAAGTACTGACAGAAGTCTCAAACACTCCTTTTATTCACAATTCCTTCATTGGCTGTGTCTCTAGAGCTCTTTAGCTTCAGAGGAAAATAGAAATCCTTTGACATTCTAGTTCCATGACTGTTATTTGTCCTGCTCATTCATTCGCCAGCAACCTAAATAAACAGTAAAAACTAAAACATGTAAAGATTAAAGAGTAAATGTTGAGGGCTGGGAAGGTGGCTCAGTGGTAGAGTGCTTGCCTCACATGCATGAGGCCCAGGGTTGGATTCCTCAGCACCACATAAGCAGAAAAACCTGGAAGTAGCCCTGTGGCTCAAGTGGCAGAGTGATTGCTAGGCTTGAGCTGAAGAGCTGAGGGACAGCGCCCAGGCCCAGAATTTAGGCCCCACAAACGACAAAATAAATAAATAAATAAATGTTGAGCCAGGCACCGATGGCTCACACCTGGAATCATAACTACATAGGAAACTGAGATCTGAGGATTGTAGTTTGAAGCCAGCTCTAGTAGAAAACTATTGAGATTCTTATCTCCAATTAACCACCAGAAAATCAGAAGTAACACTGTGGCTCAAAGTGGCAGAGTGCTAGCCTTGAGCAGAAAAGAAAGAAAGAAGGGGAAAAAAAAGCTTAGGGACAGTGCTCAGGCCCTGAGTTCAAGCCCCACAACTGAAAAACAAACCCCGAAAAGTAAGTCTTGAATATTTCTGCTCTACATATGTATGAAACTAGCATCCTGAAATCCTTTCATTACAATGTCTGAAAATACAAGAAAAGACATGACAAGCAGTATTACAAATACATGGCTGAGTTCATACTATAGGATGGGTCTGAGAACCAAGGCTAAGTAGTAGTTGATGGTGAAGGTCAAAATGGAAGCTGCCATCTTGTGAGTGCCAATAGCACTAAGCTGTTGAGAGGCTTCATTTTAGTAACTGTATACTTTAGTAGATGAACAGGATACCAAGCTCTGGACATCGGCAGTACATAAAAGTTGAATCAGAGAACATTAGGTATAGATCCAGGTATCACAGAAATTAAACTTTCAGAGGGAAAGAAAACAGGAAACAAATATCAAATATATAAAGATAGAAGACATCGAAGGAAACATGCCTTTCTTATTTTGGCTCTTGGTTGATGAACAGAAAAGTCTCCTCTAAGAATTCTTGGCCACAGACTAGTCTTAATTGAGGTTGGTTGCTCAGTTTTTAAGGATGGAAAATAGAAGCAAGAATTTAAATGAATCCATGTTGTAGCATTCCCAAGCTATTAAGACTCACTGTATAGTCTCTCTGGAAGCATATACTCAAGAATTCCAGGAGATAACATTCCAGGAAGTATGAAGTCACATTAAAAAATAAAAATAGGACACCAGTGGCTCATGCCTGTAATCCTAGCTACTCAGGAGGCTGAGAAGAGCAGGAAAGTCCATGAAACTCTTACCTCCAAGAAACCACCAGAAAACCGGAAGTGGCGCTGTGGCTCAAGTGGTAGAGTGCTCACCTTGAGCTGAAGAGCTGAGGGACAGAGCCCAGGCCCTGAGTTCAAGCCCCACGACCGACAAAAAATAAATAAATAAATAAATATAACAAAATAAACATATGACAGAAAGGAAGAACTACTGTTAGCATTACTTGCCAGAAACAAAAAAGGAAAGAGCAGAAGCAGATATTGTGGAGAAATCAGATGCAGAATGAACAGTAAGTGTATTTAATGCACTTTCAAATGAATAAGGAACAGAGACTTTCAAAAAAAAGATGTAACAAATTGAAGGTAATTGAACATATTGAACAAATTGAACATAATTTAACTTAAATATGCAACTGAAACTTTTATTGATGATGGGATAGCTTTCCTGGTCTAGACATTTGATCAGATTGATTCTAACATATTCATAAGCTTGTGTGAAGGCATTAAAGCCAAAGAAAAGGTTTTCAAACCTTAATAAAAGGCTACTAGGGTAGGTGGTAATAACAAGTAAACAGCCTGTCCACCACTGGGCACTGCACAACATTCCTTATTGGATAAAGAATGGGAAGCAAACCTTTAGTTAACATCATACCCAATGATAAGATATTGAACATCCTTCCAGGTAAGAATAGCTAATCTTACAAATTTGATTTAGCATAGTGACAAAGGTCTCAGCAAATGAAATAATCAAGAATGGGAAATAAAAGTCAAAGATTAAAAAAGGAAGAAATTTTCTGCCTTATTTGAAAACAGCATAAATTTGAATGTAGAAGTCTAAAAATCTACTGAAGAAGTACAAGAATTAAGAAATTAAACTTGATTATTGATACATAATCAATGTGCAATTAAAATGTTTCATTTTCATATACTAGGAAAAAATTTAAGTGAATAAAGATAAAAATTGATAACATCAATTTTTATAAAATTTATAAAATTTTTATATAAAATATTATCCTACTAAGGTGATATAATTATTGTGAATAAATTATAAAAGAAAATTAATGTGTAAAATTGTATAAGACCTCTACATTGAAAATGACAGAATATACCATGAGGAAATCAGTAATTAGCAATACATACTGTGTTTCTTGATCGTATAAACTCAATCTTTCTGTAATAAGATGTTCCAAATGATCTACAGAGAACTTTTCTCCTAAAATTTACATTTTGTACAGAATATTTAGAAGAGACAATAGCCACATTGTAAAAGAAGAATAAAACTGAAAAATTGTGCTATCTGATATCAAGACTAACTATAAAACAATAGTAGTGAAAGAAGTATGATATTGGTACAAGGATTAACAAATATCCCAGTTTAGTGATTGAGGCTCAGAAATGGACAGTCAATGAAAGAGTAATGCTAGGTTTTTCAGGAGGCTTTGCTACAATAATTGTATTTCCATACGTTAAACAAAAAGAAACAAAAGAAGCTGAGCCTGTTTTCTACCTTATGTTGCATAAAAATTAATTAAAATGGATTATAGGGCTATGAAACAGTAGAATGAAAAACACTACTAATCTTATATTTAAAAAGAATAAATTAGCCTCTGCTACCGGTGGCTCATGCCTATATTCCTAGCTACTCAGGAAGCAGAGATTTGAGGATTGTGGTTCAAAGACAGCCAGGGCAGGAAAGTCCATGAGACTCTTATGTCCCTCCAATTAATCACCAGAAACCCGGAAGTGGCACTGTGGCTCAAGTGGTAGAGCACTAGCCTTGAGCTGAAGAGCTGAGGGACAGCACCCAGACCCAGAGTTCAAGCCCCACAACTGAAAAATAAATAAATAAGAAAGACAATATAAAATTTTAAATTCTGATAATCAAAATACACTGCTAAGAAAATGTCATGACATAAACTAGAAGTAAATATTTTAATATCTTTACATAATAAAAGGCTTGCATTCCAAATATGTAAAGAACTACAGCTTACTAATAAGCATTTATTCAGAGTATATGATATGCATCTATGGAATTATCACAATGAGACTCCTTGTAATATTAATCTGTGATATTAAAATATATATATTTACTGAAGAAGGACACACATTCAACTGTGTCTTTTAAAAACATATCATCAGTTGGGCACTGGTGGCTCATGCCTGTAATCTTAGCTACTCAGGAGGCTGAGATCTGAGGATCGCGGTTCAATGCCAGCCTAGGCAGAAAAGAACTCTTATCTCCAATAAACCACCAGAAAAC